AAATACAGAATAATTGACTGGACACAACTGTAAACATACTGTACAAACACGACTTTGACCTTTCAGCTGGAGACCTGAATCTTGGTATGTGGCACTTTTGTCATCATGTCAAACACATATTTGTGTTCAAAGCCATTTTAAAATTCCACCAGGAATGACAGAATAGTTGATCTGCCATGACCACCAATGCCTTTTTATGAAAAATTCATTAATTAGACTTTGGAAGTCAGGGCCCTCGATCAACCAAATCTGCGGCCGATATTCGGCCGCAGTCCCCCACCAAAATAGTATGTTTTTTTCCCCCTAACAGAGGTAAAAATTCCCCCTCAAAACATATAAAGTGTTAAAGAGAAAAAATGAAAACTAATTATGTTTTTGAAAATTAAAACCCATCTATTTGACGTCTATTTAGTAAATGGAATATCGTACAGTACATGTCTGCACGTTTCCGTTTGTTTTATCCCCCAAAATCTACCGTCACATATTGACCTTTCATCCTGTAAAAATGCTAAAATTTCAACAGAAATATGCAGAAAAAATCACAATTCCTACCAACAATTTGATTTCAAATTGTTTATTCATGAAATCATTTTTTTTTTGTCTTCAAATGTTACATCAACCACGGTAAATTTTGCCGTAAATTACAAACTTGTAAGTTTTGTTTTCATGATACTTTATTAAATAACTGATGAAAAATGATCTTATAATAAACAATCAATTTAATTTTATATAATTGACATCAGAAACAACTAGAATCCTGGATGTGTAAACAGAAAACAAACAAATTTGCATTAATTTTGTCACATATTTTCGCGATGCCGATTTTTACGAATGTTTTACAAAGTCAAGAAAAGGAAGCTTAACACTAGAAATGTAGTTTATGAATAGAATTTACTTTAGGTCCATGTATTGATCATACTGGAAATAGAGACATTTGTCTGAATGTGTTTCTAAATGCTTATTTTTTTTATTTTATTTTTTTTTGGGGGGGGGGGGGTGAATCATAAAGAAAGCTAAGCAGCATAAAGATCTGATGGTTTAAGGAGTTAAAAACTTTTCTTCAAATCTTATCAATTACTTCTGAACAGTTTAGTGTTACCTATTTTGGATTTTTTTAGCTCGACTATTCAAAGAATAGAGAGCTATTGTAGTCGCCCCGGCGTCGGCGTCAGCGTCCGCGTCGGCGTCTGCGTTGGTTAAAGTTTTTTGTAAAGTCAAATATCTCATTTATTACTTGAGATATTCAATTGAAACTTACAATACTTATTTATAGTAACAAGATACATCAGATTGACAAGTTTCATAACTCTGCCTACAATAATGACAGAATTATGCCCCTTTTTAACTTAGAAATTTTGGTTAAAGTTTTTTGTAAAGTCAAATATCTCACTTATTGCTTGAGATATTCAATTGAAACTTACAATACTTATTTATAGTAACAAGGTACATCAGATTGACAAGTTTCATAACTCTGCCTACAATAATGACAGAATTATGCCCCTTTTTAACTTAGAAATTTTGGTTAAAGTTTTTTGTAAAGTCAAATATCTCACTTATTGCTTGAGATATTCAATTGAAATTTACAATACTCATTTATTATTTATAATAACGAGGTACATCAGATTGACAAGTTGGATAACTCTGCCTACAATATTGACAGAATAATGCCCCTTTGGAACTTAGAAATTTTGGTTAAAGTTTTTTTGTAAAGTCAAATATCTCAATTACTGTTTGAGATATTCAATTGAAATTTAAAATACTTTTTTATAGTAACAATGTACATCAGTTTGCAAAATTGCATAACTCTGCCTGCAATATTTGCAGAATTATTTGCCCCTTTGAAACTTAGAAATTTTGGTTAAAGGTTAAAGGTTGAAGGTCTTCAAAGATATTTACTTATGCACGTCGGGTCATAATTGGAGGGTCATAATTGTATGTCACTGACCAAGTTCCATAACTCTATCTTGCATTAAGGCTGATTCATATCCCCTTTTCTACTTAGTCTCTTGGTTAATGTTTACATGCAAGTTTTACATTTCTCAATAACTATTAAAGATATTTATTTAAAACTTCACATATGCATTAAGGGTCATAATTGTAGGTCACTAACAAAGATCCATAATTCTATCTTGCATTTAGGCTGCTTTTTCTCCACTTTTTCAACTTAGAAATTCATGGTAAAGTTTTGCTTGTAAGCTGTTATCTCAATAACTACTGAAGGGTTTGTGCCTTTTTTGGGACAATTTTATGCATCCATGATAATAAAGCAGTGATTTACTTGATAAAACATCTTAATAACAAGCCTTTGTACCTTTTCTGTCAAATTTATGTATTCATAGTTAATTAGTATTATTATACTCAATAAAACACCCTTGTGACATTACCTTCCGAATAATCAAGCCAATACTGTATAATTAGACTCTCTCTAAGGCCTATAACATGAATTTATAAAAAAAAATAAGCCCTTTTGTGAACTTAAAAAATTTAACATTACCAATGCTCTTTTACTATCAAGCACTTAGAATAGTCGAGCGTGCTGTCATACAGACAGCTCTTGTTTAAAAAAATAATATGCATGTAAATAAAAAACAGCTGATATTTAAATAAGTTTATTTGATATTTGACCATAAAAGAAAAAGAGAAAAATTCCCCCCAAACACCAAAATTCCCCCTGCTGAGGGTAGCGACCCGCTTCCCCCAAATTGGATTGAGGGCCCTGGAAGTACACAATGTGGCCTTGATCTATGACCTTGAGACCTGGCTCTTGAGCTCAACATGTAATCATCATGTCAAATGCATGCATTGAATTTTATGAATAGGTTTTTATTTTCAAAATTGATTCAGGAATGACAGAATAGCTGACCTGACATGACCAACAATGAAAAACTTCAAGAGATCAAGAGTGACCTTAACTTTTGACCTATAATCTAGGTCACACATATCACGATTCTTTGTTTTTAAGGCTTTTTAACACAGATTCTTAACACAGTTTTTGGTCATATCTTGACAGTCAATCCTCCCTAGCAAGTTTTCTTGGGTAACTAACCAGTACTAACCAATTTGACCGCAAGTGACCAACTTTTAAACAAACATAATTTCTAAATCAGCAGCAAGAAACAAATGACCATTAGATTCCATGTCATAAATCAATTGTCACAGTGAAATCATGACTTGCCCCAGCATTGAACAACCCTGGATTACTAATCTGAAGCTCTCCCTATTAAGCTAAGCCGGAAAATGGGAAGACAAACACACTGTACAAAAATGTGCTAGATGCTTATGGAAAGTAACATGTATTTTGAAATCAATTCATGAATTTCATAGCCATGAACATTGACAAACAGATGTACAGACAATTCAGTAAGTTAACTAAATGCCACCCATCTGGGAGAAAAAAGTTGTGACACCTTATTTATATAGGAATTGACAATTTGTTTCATATGGACCATAATGAAAAGACCTTCAAACTCAATGGGAAAAAGGTAAAGTGCTTTCTCGATATTGGTGTGTTTAAAAATCAACAGTTTTATTTCAGTTTTTTTTAATATAATATTGCAAACCACCCTGATAATTAACTTTTTAAAACAGGGCTTGTAGTAACAAAAACAGCATATGAAATACAGACATATCTTTTATGTATATAAAACAAGAGAATAAAAACATTGGACAGAAGTATTTGGTGAAAGCTTTAAAATTTATATTTTTATATGAAAATGTTTAATGTGACAGTATTAGTCATAGCAAAAAAAAGCTTTCACCAGACACTTTGCCTGCTTTGATACAATCTACATGTTTGTAAAACGTTAACATAGGCCTTCAAAATGGTTAAAAATCAATCAAATTTCTTTTATTACAAGTACTTTTACTATAAATTTGTAATGAAATAAAAAATCATATAAATATATCAGAATTTTGATCAACAGAAAAATTTTGCACCAGTCTAATCTACATTAGTATGTATACGTGACAGATCAAATTTAGGCATTATACGACATTTTTCAATAGCATGATAAAGAAACTAATGTTAGTAAAAAAAATAAATATACAAGTATGGAAAGATTAGACCGGGTTTTCATTTAGCCATGTCAACATTTGAACACAAACATGTAGATTATATAGACTGTGACTCATCCAGACTTTAGTTTCAAGTTTCATTTTGACAGTGTAAATAAATATATACATGAAAGCCTAAAAATCTGACCATATATTTATACCAAATCAGTCCTGGAATGGCTGCTAGTTGGGACTATAAGTAAAACAAGTCGGGACAAAAGACCAAATGTGAATTTTGACAGAATTTCCAGAAAAATTATAGTTTCTTGTGATTGAAAACCGGTCAACCTTCAAAAGGACGGGAAAAAGGTTTGCATCAAGCTACAAAGTCAGCGATGTAGGTGTACGCTTGCATTTAAAGTAACTTTTTTTATACACTATTAGTCTTTAGACACCACAACAGTACTGCAGAGTTCAGTCACAACTACAGAATTCGGTCATAGCCCTTAGTACAAACAAATAGTTCTTTCACAAACAGACACAGGGCGAATTAAATTTGAATGCTAATGCATTAACAATGCATTACTTTTGTCAAGTATTGCAACAGATTTAGCATTATTCTAATTAATGCTTATTTAATTCATCATCCTACATTTTACTGAGGATCTGAGACAAAAACAGACTGACACTTGTTCTGGACGATACTTTATGAGCTCACTGAGCTTACAGTCGAAACAAGCAGGCCAGTACCTATGAAGAAACTGTCTTTGCTTTTTGGTTATACAATGAAAATGAAGATTAATATTAAAACAATATAAAGTTTTTTTTTGAGACAAAAAAATATCCAAACTTTTTTCTTCTCAGGTGGGGGAAGTATGTGGTGATGGGGGGGAATGAAGAATTATTGCTTATTAAATTGATATATTTTGTGTTTCGAAATGCAAAACTTAGAACTATTTCCAAGAATGAGACACAGTCAAGAAACAATGATAAGAAATAACACTTACTGTATCCTTGAGCTGTCATATCACCTGGGTTTCCCGTAGCACCAGTTGGATCATAGTTCATACCCATGGAAACACTAGGATCCCAGTTATCCTGGGGCACCATAGGTCTACCGGGCTCTACGCCCGTTATTTCTAACTCCATCTCATTTTCAGTTAAAGCTTCTAATTTAACACTAACATTTGGGTCCATTTCACTAGCTGTCTCTGAACTTTGCTCCTGGTTATTTCCTGAGATCAAATTTGACAAGTCTGAGTCTAAACTAAGTCCTTCTGCTGGAGGTTCATTTGGAATGGTTGAGTTTGAAGATTCTGATTTGGCATCGTCATCCTTTTCACCGGATTCAGATTTCACTTTTGATGGAGTTGAAGGTGCGTTTGATGGAGACTGACTAGAACTTTGAGCGTTAATGTCCGATTCCGGCGCAGCAGAATCTTGATTGGATGATTCGTCATTGCTGTCCTCCGGTTCAATTTTTATAATTTGTCCGTCAAGTTTATTAGGTGATTTTAATGGACTAGGAGAACTAACTGGCATAGCTGCTGCTCTTATTGGCCTTGTGATTGGATAGGGTTGATGTCTTTGATTTGGTGACCGTAACGGATGCCGAGCTCCCATGAACCTCGGCGATGGATGTCGAGGGGAACGCGTTGGCATGTAGTGACGAGGACTGTATGTATTAGCAGCAACTGCTGCTGCCGCTGCAGCTTTACGCATAGCTTCCTCTCGTTCTTTCTGTTCTTGTTCCTGCTTCTTCTTATGATGATCTGCAATAATAAATTATAATGAATAAATACTCAGAAAGGATCAGTAGTGCTAAACCAAAATCATAGTGCTCTGTTTTCAAGTTAAGTTCCTTTTCCAGCTATTTTGGGTAAAATGGCCTCAGGGTTAAATTGGGAATTCAGCACTAAATAACTTGTTCAAAAAGTACCTTTAACAAGACCTATATTAATATGTAAGATCATATAACTGTAAGATCAATATAAAATTTGTCTCAAAAGTTGGAACAGTTCGAACTTCTTGGATTGGTGGATGCTCATTCTCATGACTGGTGCCTACAGTAGTACTGTAATTAATACATCTCGATTTTGACAACATGGCAAAATCTCATAAAAAGCTACAAAAAAAGTCTTGCATTTATTTGATTGATAAATTACTAATTGGTATCACTTTGCTACTTGTGGCACTTTTACCCTATCACCAAGTGCATTATGAGACTTATTCCAAATTCAGTTTAAAATCCCAACTGCTACTAAATAAATGAAAAAATTGTTGTTATTATGTTTTTTTCCAACACCTTCGTATTTCTCAAATGCTGCATAACTTTCCCAATTTGAAAGGTCTTTTCCCAAAAAAGTTGGAAAAGGCTCACATACTCAAAACTACAGCAACACAGTAGTGATCTATATCACACAAGAAAATTTGTTGTGTAATTTATTGTTACTTTTGGGAAAATTTCAATGTTGAGATGAACATTTGAGCCAAGTTTGAGAAAATGTCTCATGTGAAGAGGGGACACAATACTGTCTTATTCTAGACTTGTAAGGGTGCCCCCCAAATGGTATTAAGCCTACACAGTTGCTGCAATGGTTCTGCAAGTTAACTTATTATTGCCAAGTTTAAGGAAATCCAAGTTTGAGCCAAGTTTAAGGAAATCCTTCAAGGGGTAAAGCATTTCTAGAGCGGAAAACAAGTTGTCTCATATTTGACCTTTGACCTCCAAGGGTGGCCTTGACTTTGAGCTGGCACAGCAGTGGCATGGGTTCTTGAGGTCAACATTAAAGCCCAGTTTGAAGACAATCCTTCAAGGGCTATATAGTATTCATAGAGTAGACACCATGGAAACGGACGGAACAACAAACACCACAAATTGATTAATTTGTATTTAGCTCTCTCATAGCAATACACTAGCAGTCTAAAAATGGCCTAACTTGTAATGTTTTAGCATTTGCAAGATAGATATCATTCACAATACTGGACAGATAACTTTTCATCAGGTATTCCTTGGCTATTTATGTAATTCAAATAGACACTGTAAATAGGTCTGTTAGTATTGTGAAAAACTAGAAATGTGTCCATAGGAAACGGGTGCCCCCACCGCGCCACTGTTCTGTCAATCTTATGACTCTAAGTCAAATATTTTTTGAAAACTAAAAATCTTTTACTAAGTAAAGGGCAATAACTTTACAAATACTGAATAAATCCATAAGCAAACCCCAAGGTGCATAAGTACACATGCTGACCAACATTCTTGTAAACTTTCAGAACTACAAGTGAATTATTTTTGAGCTATGCACATACAAGTTGAAAATTGCAAATTTATATTACTGTAAGTCAAGCGCAATAACTCTAACAAAACTGAAAACAAGAGGGCCATGATGGCCCTGAGGTCGCTCACCTGTATATAGGCCCCCCAACCCCCATCCCCCCAACATTCCAGGGCCAATTTAACCCAAGGGCTTTTATTTGCACAAACTTGGTAGACACCCATAAGAAGATGTTTCATGCTAAACATCTAAGATCTAGCTCATTGGTTTTTTTTCAAAGAAGATTTTAAGTGTTTGCTATACACATATAAAGAAAATCAATGACCCCCGGGACGGGGCCAATTTTGACCGGACCCCAGGTCTTTTATTTGAACAAACTTTGTAGACACTCACTAAAAGATGTTTCGTGCTTAATATCTAAACTATAGCTATTTGGGTTTTTTCAAAGAAGATTTTTTAAGTTTTTGCTATACACATATAAGGAAAATCAATGACCCCAGGGGCGGTGCCAATTTTGACCCCAGGGCTTTTATTTGAACAAACTTGGTAGACACCTATTAGAACATGTTTGATGCTAAATATCTTAGCCATAGCTCTTTGAGTTCTTTAAAAGAAGATTTTTTAAGTTTTTACTATATGCATATAGGGAAAATCAATGACCCCCCAGGGCGGGGCCAATTTTGACCCCAGGGCTTTTATTTGAACAAACTTGGTAGACAACTATTAGAACATGTTTGAAGCTCAATATCTTAGCCATAGCTCTTTGAGTTCTTTAAAAGAAGATTTTTTAAGTTTTTACTGTATGCATATAGGGAAAATCAATGACCCCCCAGGGCGGGGCCAATTTTGACCCCAGGGCTTTTATTTGAACAAACTTGATAGACACTCACTAGAAGATGTTTCATGCCAAATATCTAAGCTCTAGCTCTTATGGTTTTTTAAAAGAAGATATTTAAAGTTTTTTCTTTCGGTTGCCATGGCAACCAGAGTTCTGCATGGAATTAAATTCTTTGAACAATTTTTAAAGGTGACCGCCAAAGGAACATTCCTGTGAAGTTTGGATGAAATTGGCTTAGTGGTTTATGAGGAGATGTCATTTAAAGTAAAAGTTTACGGACGGACGCCGGACGGCCGAAAAACGATCACAAAAGCTCACCATGTCACTTTGTGACAGGTGAGCTAAAAATCAACATGAAAAGTCCAAAGTGCATAGCTTCACAGTGATGTGAATCATTATTCCTTTAATTTAGTGATGTTGATCATTATTCCTGTAAAGTTGGTTGATTCTAACTCAAGCACTCGAGGAACAAATAACAACATAATGAAATGGTTTTTACTAAGTCAAGGGAAATAACTCTACAAATACTGGATAAATCCACATGCGAAACCCCGGGTGCAAAACTAAATATACTGAGCAACCTTCCCCTAAGGTTTAATGACTCTATGTCAAATCCTTTTTGAGTTACATGCAACACAAGTTGCAAAATTGCAAAAAATTTCTAAGTCAAGGGAAATTACTCTAAAAATACTAAATAAATCCAGACGAAAATACCCAGGTGCACAACTAAATATGCTGATCAATATTCCTGTAAAGTTTCATGACTCTATGTCAAATCCTTTTTGAGTTACATGCGACACAAGTTGAAAACTGCAAAATTTTACTAAGTTAAGGGAAATAACTCTAAAAATACTAAATAAATCCAGACGAAAATACCCAGGTGCACAACTACACATGCTGATCAACATTCCAGTAAAGTTTCATGACTCTAGGTCAAATACTTCTTGAGTTACATGCGACAAAAGTTGAAAATTGCAAAATTTTACTAAGTCAAGGGCAATAACTCTAAAAATACTAAAAATATCCAGACGAAAATACCCAGGTGCACAACTACACATGCTGATCAACATTCCTGTTAAGTTTCATGACTCTAGGTCAAATACTTTTTGAGTTACATGCGACACAAAAGAGAACGGACGGACGGACAAAGGTAAATCTAAATGCCCGCCACTAAATTGGGACCACAAAAAAGCCAAAACGCCATTATTTGTCTTGTACATGTATCATAATGTAAAAATTTAGATAAGTTTAAAATTTAATGGCAGTCGGTAATTTGAAATGCATGAAAAAAAATGACTTTTTTGTCATCACTGCTATGAAATATGCTTCTGCATATGTTTTGATTGGAATTCTCAAAATTTCTAGATATTCAATTAGTGATTTTCTAAAATGTGTATCAATTATTGATGGACAGAAAAATATACTAGAAAACTATAAATCCATATTTTTTCTATCGATGACAGCAGCTCTTGATATATGAATATCTGAGTAATATATAGAGGATATTAAATGAGTGTAAGTTTATTAGTTTAATACTGAATTTATTGAACGAGTTGAATAAAATTATATTATGCGAGCCTCTGGCGAGCAAAATATTATTTTATTCAACAAGTTCAATAAATTTAGTATTAAACTTTCACGAATCTAATATTCTATTTACCACATTCCAAAATTAAAGATCGTTTGAAGTAAAAATGACTCATTTTTCATTAACATGCCTTTAGAATAACGCTAACATTTAATGGGTCTTAACGCTATGTTTACACGCAAATGACGTCACGTCAAAATATATGCACGACTGTGCAATACCATTTTTACGGAGTCGTAAAAGCTGCACAGGTGTGTGATAAAAGAATATTATACATACATTTAAGACAGAAGCCAAGGAACTGCGACTTTACATCCTCGTGGTCATCAAGGAAGGACTTCCCAGAATCTGATCCCAGATGGCTGAGTGTGCCATCGTGAATACTAGCTGTTAGGATTATAGAATCCTCAGATGTGTATTCTGCTAACTGCTCAACCTGTAACAATAATTAACTAAATTTACATTTCAACATTATTGTAGTTGACCTGAAAAATAAACAAGGTGGTGTTTCTCTTTAACTTTGCTTTAACTTTAATGAAACGATTGCAAGAGTTAAAAAAATTTTTTAGAGCATAGGGAAAAGGTGGTCTGATTTATATGCAATGTTGTTACAAATCAAACCAGCCAAAGAAACATGTATAAACTAAACAGAAGCAGATTTATTGTAAAACCTTACATAAGTACCTTTTATTTTCAAATTTTCAACTTACCAATTGTTGTATTTGAGCCTTCAGGACAGCTTTCAGAATCACTTTGTATCCTGGGATTTCTTTAATTACCTCCATATCTGGAGCAGCCATTCTGCTGTTAATTTATGATGCCAACAAAATTTGAAATCCAATCTATGTCTTTATGCTGTGTGTAAGGTGCTGTCTTTTATTTCAGTTCTGCGGTTTCGCAAGTTTCTTCATTAAACTACGCTGTCCAATCAAGCAATAAGTGTAAAGTCCACTCAACTTGGGAAACTTGAATTTGAAGTGTTTATTGCAAGATTCAAGTCTGAATGTCTTAATTCCTGAACAGATTTAAAGACGCTTTAACCATTAACCTGAAAGACCAAAAAAGGACAACATATAATAAAATTTCAATCATAAAAGAGGCCATAGTGATTTGCATTTCTCACCAGGCCTCAAGAATACGAAACTTTTTTCTCATCTCTCTCTCAAATCAGTCAAATTTAAAATCTGTGCCAGTTTCTGATCATAAAATACCTTTAAAAAAAACTTTGCAACAGATTTTATTTAGTCATATTATTTAGTAAATTCAAGTGATTTTGACCCATACTCTGCTGGCAAACATGTATATGTTTACGTACCAAATCCTTGTGCCGCATTTTTGTCTACCAAGGATTTTTAGTACGAATGAGCCAAATGTGAACGTGAAATAGTGATAAAATGTTTTTAATTGTCTAGCCAACTGTTTTCACAACGGCCCGGGATATGAATCCCTTGCTTGTAGGCCCGAATCTGGAGTTTCCGGCCTTCTCTTAACTTATAGTATATTTTTAAAGGGGGTCATAATTTACAATTTTTTTTTGGTTTTCGGCACTTTTAAGATGAACACAGGGTTTTTTATCAATCAGGTCATATGTTTTCATCCCAGGTCCGATACTCGTGCCTGTGGATTTTACTTGATCTTCAGAAATTTAGCACATTCAACAGACAAGGTAAATATTCTTATTGTTATCATTTTTATTTTTGTTTATATTAGTCCTTAAAACATACACCTGGAAGTGTACATGCAAATTGTTCATCATTTATCATCATGAGCATTGTTGTGATATGAATTTTGGCCTACTTTCACTTTGGACAAACAAACATGACTGACAATGCTGTGGAAGAGATTTACAGACAGTTCACCCTCAGGCAGTTCACCCTCAGACAGTTCATCCTGGGCCATTTTTTAGCAGACACTTCACCCTCAGACAGTTCACTCCTCATTTTAGGAAATTTAATTGAGACACTTCACCCCTCATTTTTAAATTTTGTGTTCAACAATAAGAAATGTGGAAAATAATAATTGTATTCAATAGTGACTTATTATTGAATGTTATAATAGAAACATCATACATGAATTCATTCATAAATACCACTTTAATCTAATTTAGAAATACCACTTTAACCTAATTAACTAATCCACCATGAGATAACTGTTGAATAAACAAACAACCAATTAACATGTTGAATAATCAAGGTGACATGCATCAGTGTCTATTCTAGGATGGGGGACGGGGGATTCACTCATAATTAAAACTAGAGGGCCATGATGGCCCTAGATCTCTCACCTGACTTATCAAACTCATCCAAACAATTACCTAGACAAGCATTCTGACCAAGTCTCATGACAGGTGAGTCAAAAATGTGACCACTACAGTATTAACAAGGATTATCCATATTTGAGCAGTGCGACCTAGGTTTTTACCCAGGTGACACATATTCAAACTTGACCTAGAAATCATCAAAACAAACTTTCAGACCAATTTCCAGGATACTTGGATCAAAACAGTAGCAACTAGAGTGTTAACAAGATTTTTCTATTTTTAGCTCCGGTGACCTAGTTTCACATGCGATTTCGAACTCATCCAAGCAATTACCTAGACAAGCATCCTGACCAAGTTTGATGATAATTGAGTCGAAAATGTGACCACTAGAATTTTAACAAGGTTTTTCCATATTTGGGCGGTGTGACCTAGTTTTTCATCCAAGATGACCCATGTTCGATCTTGACTTAGAAATCATCAAAACAAACTTTCAGACCAATTAACAGAATATTTGGATCACAACACAGTAGCCACTAGAGTGTTAACAAGATGTCCCATGTTCGATTTATTCCCAGCAATGACCTAGACAAGTTTCCTGACCAAGTTTAATGACAATTGAGTCAAAATTGTGACCAGTAGAGTGTTAACAAGGTTTTTCTATGTTTAGCTCCGGTGACCTAGTTTTTCATCTGAGATGACCCATGTTCAAACTCATCCGAGCTATCACCTAGACAAACATCTTGACAAAGTTTGATGATGACTGATGCAAAAATGTGACCACTAGAGTGTAAACAAGGTTTTTCTAATTTTTAGCTCCAGTGACCTACTTTTTCATCCAAGATGACCCATGTTCAAACTCATCCGAGCTATCACCTAGACAAGCATCTTGACCAAGTTTGATGATGATTGATGCAAAAATGTGACCGCTAGAGTGTTAACAAGGCTTTTCCATATTTATAGCTCCGGTGACCTAGTTTTTCATTCGAGATGACCCATATTCGAACTCATCCGAGCTATTATCTAAACAAGCATCCTGATAAAGTTTGATGATGATTGGGTCAAAAATGTGACCACTAGAGTGTTCACAAGGTTTTTCTATTTTTAGCTCCTGTGACCTAGTTTTTCATCAGAGATGACCCATGTTTGAACTCATCCAAGCAATTGACTAGACAAGCAATCTGACCAAGTTTGATGAAGATTGGTTCAAAAATGTTACCACTAGAGTGTTCACAAGGTTTTTCTATTTTTAGCCCTGGTGACCTACTTTTTCATCCGAGATGATCCATGTTTGAACTCATCCGAGCTATCACCTAGACAAACATCCTGACCAAGTTTGATGATGATTGGGTCAAAAATGTGACCTCTAGAGTGTTCACAAGGTTTTTGTATTTTTAGCTCTTGTGACCTAGTTTTTCATCTGAGATGAGCCATGTTCGAACTCGTCCTAGCTTTCAACTAGATAAGCATCCTGACCAAGTTTGATGATGATTGAGGCAAAAATGCGACCGGTAGAGTGTTCACAAGCAATTGTGGACGGACGACGGACATTCACCGATCCTAAAAGCTCACCCTGAACAAGCTCAGGTGAGCTAAAAAAATCCCCCTATTCAGTGGCAGTAGGGAAATTTTACATAAAGAAAAAATGATCAACAAATGTAATAAATTTTCACTTTAGATAAAAATTTACCCTTTTTTTCCAAATCCTAGGATAGACACTGAATTGTTAAACACAATGAATGAAAGTACTTTGTATTACAATTGGTGATTGAGATAACATTGTCCTTATGTTTAAAAGATGTACAATATTTAATAGTCCTATAACAATTAATATGATGTTGCTTTGAGGTATTTTTGCTTTGGAGTAGCAAAGTCATACTGAAATTTGCTATAAAAAAACCATACCACTTTCCGCAAGAAAATCTGAAGGAACAAAAAAAAACAAACACTTAAATCAGCGTATAAATACATTGATTTTGACCTCTTCATGAACAAAAGTCAAAATTAAATACCTTTTAACAAAATAATTAAACTGTCACATCCGATAAATCATGATTTAATCCTCTTATTTAATTGAATTATTTATACAGCCTATAAACAAATGGCCGTCACACAGTGAGCGAAATAAGATTGGCTAATTCAGATGCAAGCATTTAAATGAGTCAAACGTTTCAAAAGAAATATTTTTTAACAAAATTGTTCCGAATGCCCTACCGTCAGCGTGTAAGAATATATTTTTCTGCCTAGTAAACTTGTGAATCAATCTGTAAAGCACTTTATTTATCCAGTATGGCCGATAGGCAAAAAATAGAATAATGTTTGTATTTTATTTAAATTGATAACTACATTGTTTGAGGTTTTTTTCATGATTGAGTGTGAAATTAAAAGAAAATTTGAAAATTTTTTTAATAAAACTTGAGCCTTGAAAGGCGAGAAAAAAAGATTTTTTTGTGATTTTTTTATGATGCTATGCGTTTATCACAGGAGTTCGGCCAGTGTTCCCACTAGAATTTAAATTTGAGGGTACATGTACCCCCTAGGTCATATTTTCGGGGGTGCACAGAATATTTAGGGGGTACAAACTATAAAGACAAGCAAGTCAGTTAAACACATACTATTTTTACAGCAGCAGTCATGTAAGATTGTTGCTTTTTGGCGTTGCATGACACATTGTGATCGTCGCATTTCTGGTGTCTAACTAATGCTGACCGCTGGAAATTATAAGTCCCAATTGTAAACGCCGATTTCAGACACTTTTTAGTGTTTTTTTCATATGTCTCGCATGTTAAACAAAACATTTTCCCATTGTCTTTGTCAAATCTAACCACAGGAACTTGAAATTCTATCACTATTAACGATAATATGCAAAATATACCCCCTATATACTATAAAAAAACACAAGGAATGAAACGCCTTTTCCCCACCCGAACATAATTTACGCCGAACAAATCAACAAAACAACGGATCAAAATAATCTATCTGGCCATTTCGATAAACAATACATAAATGCATCAAATACCACCGATAACTTTTTTTAATTTCGTAGCTATATATGAATAATTCAACATTTTCTGATTATTTCCCACGATCTGAGTTTGTCGCCGACTCCATTTCGTGACGTCACTGGATGTTGATTCGAGGAGAATAATATTTATTAATATTATTTTTAACAAGTTCCAAAAATAACAAGTTTGCAAGTAAAATACTGTCAAACTAGAACAAATGACTGATTTATTTCTTACGACAGGGCTGAATTTATTTGATGGGCCATATCAAATAGAGTACTCAATTTTTTTTTAAAAACGAAAGTACTATTTCAAAGATTTACCGTTCTTGTTTGGGGTTTCCCTTTCAAATGTATTTATAAAAGTAATTTTTTAAAAAGGTTTTACATGAAGATGTTTAAATCTATTTACATAGAATAATTTGTATAAAAGTTTTATACATACCTGTTATTTTTTGGAACTTATTAAAAATAATTTTAATAAATATTATTCTCCTCGATTCAAAATCCAGTGACGTCACGGAATGGAGTCGGCGACAAACTCAGATCGCAGGAAATAATCAGAAAATGTTGAATAATTCCTACACAGCTACGCGATTTTAAAAAGTTATCGGTGGTATTTGATTCATTTATGTATTGTTTATCGAAATGGCCAGATAGAATAATTTGATCCGTTGTTTTGTTGATTTGTTCGGCGTAAATTATGTTCGGGTGGGGAAAAGGCGTTTCATTCCTTGTGTTTTTTTTATAGTATATAGGGGGTATATTTGGATATTATAATTAATATTGGTTATTTGATAGAATTTCAAGTTCCTGTGATCTAACCCATGAAAATTCGGACAACCAGGAGTTCTGAAATCGTTTGCAATGTTTCTTTTTGGGGGTTCAACACTATTTTCACTAAGGCCTGGTTTTTGATTTGCGCTAGAGGATTGAGTAAGGGTCGGCGATTTTCGCTGGAATCGCTTTTATGGAACCATTCATTTAAATTGCGTTGCATATTCAATAACTTTTCCGGCGATTTTTTAATATTTCAGACGGCTAATTTGTATCACCCGGATGTAGACTTGTTACTGCTTTTAATATAGAGCGTCGCGAAGCGTCGTTAATAATTATAAACCAGTCCATGAGCTAAAAATAGAACAGCTGGGAAACCCGAGTCATGACCTCAGTTATGACTGATGGGATTAAATTACGGTCTTGTAAACAATTTCAGAGATTTATGAGTAGATTATTGATTTGTGCTTCGAATTTGCGGATAATTTTTTGGCAGTTTTACTTCAATTTTTATACGTGCATGCACGCACCTAGCTGTAATTTCATGCGTGATTTTTGTAAATTATGCGTGATTCACGTACATTTGTGCGTGAATGGGAACACTGTTCGGCCATGCCAATAATGGTTCAATTATAATAAAATAATCACCCCGTGACCATCAAGAATAAAATTACCATCCAGCAAGCACCTGTTTATATAGAATATATACAAGGTATATAACTCGCCATAGCGGATTCCACAAACGTAAACAATTTGCTGTCGCATTTTTTGCCCAACTCCTATGGCGTTTATGAGCAATAACTATTAGACATAAACTATACCAAGCCTGTATTGGGCTAAATATCTTAGTTAGTGTTTGTTAACATATGAAAATACTTAAACACATAAAAACTTAATTTGTTGTTGAATTATTAACTAAATAAAAAAATATTGAACGAGGTGTGAAGTGTCTTACTGATCGGGGGGGGGGGTAAAGTGTCTCGAGGGGTGAACTGTTTTGAGGTTGAAGTGTCTTCATAATTTGAGGGTTGAAGTGTCTGGGTGTGAGATGACTTGTTCCCGCTGAATCAAATTATACTATTTTTTCATGTGATAAATCGGGGCCTTTCAATACATTATTGCACAGTTTTGTACGTGAATGAAACATATAACTTCCCCTATATTGAATACTCAAATGGCATAGGATTCGCAGACTGCCACAAATAATTTGAATCAAGTTCGAAACCCACTCAAATTTATCGATTATTGGCCAAGATTTTTGACCCTTTGTTTCCCAATTTGGGAGTAGATATTCTTAAATATTTGGGGATATCATCGCATATAACATAAGTATTGGTATTGCTTCTAACATCTTCTTACCATGTCATCACGTGTCTTTCAAATAAATGCTTTAAAATGTAGCAAGCATTAAAACAGGACGCCGGCTTCTCCTCTCTCGCAAATTTCCACCATCTTGAATCAATTAATTGCATTATCCAATCAAAAAGGACCTCGCGCGCTTACAAACGCATGAGGTACTTGAGGGGAATTTAATTGATTGGGTCAGAAGCCACTAAAACTAAGATAATTAGACGTCGCGTCGCATGTGGTGTAGATATGCATTGCCTATTCTGCAATGGGGAAAATTTTAGACTAGTTTTTGTGTATTTTTTGTTTGTTTAACAACATCACACTGTTTTCTAATAAAAATAGCTTTTCTGATGTATAACACAGGTCACACAACTTTAAGGAATTAAAATAAACGTTTAATAATAATACGGATTTATATTACAAGGATCGGACACTTTCGTTTAGGTTAAAGTCCCGTCGCGCGCATGCGCAGAATCGGATAAAGATGGCGTAACGCTCGGAGTGTGAAATATGACACATTTTCACAAGAGTATGTGGTGTTATTGCAGCTCTGTGAAAAATTATACACATATGAATGTATTGATACAGTATTATTTTGTGCAGCTAAAGTATTAATATATGAAAATATGCCGATAGAACGCTGCGACGCTTAGTTAAAAAGTACCTAATTTAAAAAATATTTGCCTATTGTTTAGGCATACTCTCTACACTTTGACGCCCTTTTACGTCAAGCATAGATTATTACCGCGATTCAGAATAAGATAATTATTTTTTACATGGTTTAATAGTGGCATTGCAAAAAAAATGTTTCTTGATTGCTAAAATACTTTTAAAGAATTTCATGTTTGAAATGTGTCTTTATTTCTGTGAATTATTTCCAAATGATTTGTACATGTTTTATTTGATCTACCTGTATATTAGTATAAATATAGTAAATATTCTACTAATTAGTGTATTAAATATATTTTCAAATCATTCTAGACATTCCATCATATATAAATGAATTCATTAGATTGGCAAGGAAGAAACTTTTATTGGCATACTGAACAGCTGTTTTATATAATTTTTTTTTTGGAAACATATTTTTTTCATAGTTATCCTTCACAATTCACGTCAAATGATTTATTTGACATATGTTTATTTTCATTATTTTTCAAAGAAAGGACTATACAAATTAAGTTGTTTATTTTCAATTTCATTTATAAACGTTAATAAAGAAAATAGATTTACATTGTATTTATATACATGTATATCCTCTTCAGAATCATTTTCTTACCACACATGCCATGGACTGTAGTTAAAGACCGCGCACATACAACATTAACATTCCATTTCTATTTGTTTTTAAAGATTGAGTGTTGAAATTATAATATGTGACCTGATAATGAAAGTTTGAAAACAAAGTTTTTCAATTATCACTTGTTACCTGGTAATTAACCCCCTTCAAAAGTAATTAAACTTCAAAGAAATTTAAGCGATGTGTAAAAGATAATCAACAGTTACTTTTATTTCGCATAATACTGACTCAAACTGTAAAGATTTTTATTGTTTTTTTAGCGTTACATTAAAAATATCAGAAATATCTTTCTACAGTCATTCAAATAAAAAGAATAATTAAAATATACGAGTGAAATAATTAAATTATACGAGTGACATTAAAAAGGCCGGAATCGAGACAGCCACACGAGAGTACTTTACTGTTACGATGATTGTCTACTTCACTGCACCGACATTTGAAAACAGATTTACAAGAAAAATAATAATGATATAAATGATGAAGAAAATTTAAATATCCTATGAAAATGGCAATACATATATTGACAATATTAGCAATATCTTGTATTTAAAAGAATGAATAAATTTACTTTACTTGTTGAGCGAATTGTAAAGCCCGCAATACATTACCCGTAAAACAATTGTGCGTAAATTAATTTGACTACATAACCAAATAAATCTTAAGTATTGCATCTTTGATCACCTGTGAATAACTTCCATGATGGCATCGGCTTCTTTTTTATTTTGAAATTGAATTTATTATGTTACCGTAATAATGAATTTCAAATATCTGCTATTTATATAAAAAAAAAATGTAAATTTACCGCGGATTTCGTCAAGTTAATTTCTTAATCGTCGTTGCAGACAGATAGTCTGTATCTTTAAAAAATGAATTAGATATTTGAATTAAACAAGCATTTTTCTTGAAAATAAACTTTAAATTTCAAAAATCGGATAATAAATGGAAAAGCTATATGGTATTTTGTAAAGTAGGTATCCGTTGCGAACGGGCATTTTCGCTTAGCGCCGATAAATTATCGATCGATGTACCTTTATCGGGTGCACGACAAGATATTTAAGCATTTATATAGGGTTAACTGGGAGTGTCCGATCCCTGTAATATAAATCCGTGATAATAATAATAATAATAATAATAATAATAATAATAATAATAATAATAATAATAATAATCTGTACAGCTGTATTTAGATCTAAACTGGAACTTAAAATGATCATAATGTATATTTGAAGTCCCAGATCTACACAGATCTGAATCATGACTACTGAACAAAACTCACAGAGCACTACTCAAACAGAGACCGTGACCCACAGAGCATTTCTAACACAGTGAAAAAAGCGCAAGCGTTCAACATTTGCCACAGAGGACTACTTTATATAATTGATGTATCGAAAATGACTTACAGAACAATACTAACACATAGTGAACATGACTCACGGATCACTACTCACACAGTTAACTTTACTCACGGCCGGGGCGCACTATATACTCACACAGTTAGCTTTACCCATGAATCGAGCACTACTCACAAATTTAGTTTCACTCACGGAGCACTACTTACACAGTAAACTTTACATATGGAACACTACTCACACAGTTAGATTTACTCATGGAGCACTACTCACACTATTAGCTTTACTCATAAATCGAGCAATACTCACACATCTAGCTTTACTCACGGAGCACTACACACACAGTAAGCTTTACTCATGGAGCACTACTCACACAGTAAGCTTTACTTATGGAACACTACTCACACAGTAAGCTTTACTTATGGAACACTACTCACACAGTTAGCTTTACTCACGGAGCACTACTTACACAGTTAGCTTTACTTATGGAGCACTACTCACACAGTTAGCTTTACTCATAGAGCACTACTCACACAGTTAGCTTTACTCACGGAGCACCACGTACACAGTTAGCTTTACTCATGGAGCTTTACTCAAACAGTTAACTTACTCATGTAGCACTACTCACACAGTAAGCTTTACTCATAGAGCACTACTCACACAGTTAGCTTTACTCACGGAGCACTACCAACACAGTTAGCTTTACTCACGGAGCACTACTCACACAGTTAACTTTACTCATGGAGCACTGCTCACACAGTTAGCTTTACTTATGGAGCACTACTCAAACAGTTATTTTTACACATGAAGCACTACTCACACAGTAAGCTTTACTGATGGAACACTACTCACACAGTAAGCTTTACTCATAATGCAGTACTCACACAGTAAGCTTTACTCACGGAGTACTACTCACACTGTAATTAAGCTTTACTCACGGAGCTCTACTCACACAGTAAGCTTTACTCACGGAGCTCTACTCACACAGTAAGCTTTACTCATGGAACAATACTCACACAGTAAGCTTTACTCATAGAGCAGTACTCACACAGTTAGCTTTACTCACGGAGCTCTACTCACACTGTAAGCTTTACTCACGGAGCTCTACTCACACAGTAAGCTTTAGTCATGGAGCACTACTCACACAGTAAGCTTTACTTATTGGAACACTACTCACACAGTTAGCTTTACTCACGGAGCACTACTTACACAGTTAGCTTTACTTATGGAGCACTACTCACACAGTTAGCTTTACTCATAGAGCACTACTCACACAGTTAGCTTTACTCACGGAGCACCACGTACACAGTTAGCTTTACTCATGGAGCTTTACTCAAACAGTTAACTTACTCATGTAGCACTACTCACACAGTAAGCTTTACTCATAGAGCACTACTCACACAGTTAGCTTTACTCACGGAGCACTACCAACACAGTTAGCTTTACTCACGGAGCACTACTCACACAGTTAACTTTACTCATGGAGCACTGCTCACACAGTTAGCTTTACTCATGGAGCACTACTCAAACAGTGATTTTTACACATGAAGCACTACTCACACAGTAAGCTTTACTGATGGAACACTACTCACACAGTAAGCTTTACTCATAATGCAGTACTCACACAGTAAGCTTTACTCACGGAGTACTACTCACACTGTAATTAAGCTTTACTCACGGAGCTCTACTCACACAGTAAGCTTTACTCACGGAGCTCTACTCACACAGTAAGCTTTACTCATGGAACAATACTCACACAGTAAGCTTTACTCATAGAGCAGTACTCACACAGTTAGCTTTACTCACGGAGCTCTACTCACACTGTAAGCTTTACTCACGGAGCTCTACTCACACAGTAAGCTTTACTCATGGAACACTACTCACACAGTAAGCTTTACTCATAATGCAGTACTCACACAGTAAGCTTTACTCACGGGAGTACTACTCACACTGTAATTAAGCTTTACTCACGGAGCTCTACTCACACTGTAAGCTTTACTCACGGAGCTCTACTCACACAGTAAGCTTCACTCATGGAACAATACTCACACAGTAAGCTTTACTCATAGAGCAGTACTCACACAGTAAGCTTTACTCACGGAGCTCTACTCACACAGCTAGCTTTACTAACAGAGCTCTACTCACACAGTAAGCTTTACTCACGGAGCTCTACTCACACTGTAAGCTTTACTCATGGAGCACCACTCATACAGTTAGCTTTACTCATGGAGCACTACTCACACAGTTAGCTTTACCCATGAATCGAGCACTACTCACACATTTAGCTTTACTCACGGAGCACTACTTACACAGTAAACTTTACTTATGGAACACTACTCACACAGTTAGATTTACTCATGGAGCACTACTCACACAGTTAGCTTTACTCATGAATCGAGCAATACTCATACATTTAGCTTTACTCACGGAGCACTACACACACAGTAAGCTTTACTCACGGAGCACTACTCAAACAGTAAGCTTTACTTATGGAACACTACTCACACA